AATCTCTGTGCTCACGTCCATTATGTTAGTTTCCATTTTCCTCTATACAAATAAAAAAAGAAATTTATTCAAAGATTACTTTGTATTAATTGAGTTGCGTTTGCATAACTCGAACTAATTAAATTTCAACTCAATATTAATCCGAGTTATATCTATAACAACACTGACAATTTTATTCTCTTTGGTTTAACGTCATGAATTGACGTTTAGATCCAATAATTTGTGTTACCATCTAGTGAAATAAATTTTTGTAGAGTCTTTATTTTTTTTATACTTCCTCATTAGAATTTATCAAAACAACAGATAGATATAGTTCCATGCTGGCTTGTCAGTAAAAAATGAATTTAGAAAATGCTTGCCTTTTCTCAGACACGAGAAAATGGAAAATTGCCTGACTCGTTCAAACTACCTAACGTTCAAAGTTTCAACAAAACTATATCATATATATGTATAAATTTATCTTGAGAATAAAATGTTCTGCACTGCTGCTTTTATGATCCTCTTTTTTCTAATGTTACAATGAATGGAGCACAGACTTAGTTTAGCTTAGTATAGATAGAGTATAGCAAAAGTTGCGAGGAAACAAATGGACAAAAGATAGTCTTTCCGTTCCTTTTAACTAACACATTAAAAGACTGAATTTTGCATAGTTCGAAACTCAGATATCGTTACAAATACGAAAAAGTACAAATATAATATGAGTTGTTTATTTATTTTTGAAAAATAATTAACTTTTATACATGAAGGAAAACCGGAAGTAACTAATGTATTCTTTAATACTTCCTCATTGTTGCTGTTATAAAGATGTCATTTTATACTAAAATCTATAGTGTTACTTGCTTTTGCCCGCGACTTCGTCCGCGTGATATAGTTACTTTGGACATCATATTTTCCAAAAACGCTGTTGTTTTTTGAGATGATAATGAAATTACCTTGATGTTTAAGTTCGAAGATAGTACAACAAAATACCAACGAATGTCCAATATGTTTCAACACTTTATTTTTGAAACTTTAGAGATATTAATCTAATTCAATGCAATTTGAAATAAAGATGAAAAAATAAAAAACTTCTGAAGTTTATATAAAACTTAATACCGCAGATTACTTTAGAATAAACGCCGTCTAGAACACAGCGCCATCTATTGGGTGTATTTGCAACCTAGATGTCAAACGATATTGAAGAATTTTATCTATGAATCAGCACACCGCCATCTATGAGAACTTCATAAAACTAAACAGTAAATAAACACTTGCTTAAGAAACAATTAATTAGAACATTTTATTTGTTTACATTTACGACATAAGCGAATAATTGAGATGATAACTATCCAGTAAGTTAGACTAAAATACGGCTACATGTGAAATTTGATAGAAATCGGTTCAGTAGTTTTGGAGTTTATTGGCAACATACATCGTGACACAAAATTTTTATATATATAAGATTTAACAAATACAAATTAACCGTTTCTTATTAAATGCACGTGTATGTATACACGGGACATACCTATACCAAAATAATATTTTAAATATTTTTTTGTCTGTTTGCTGCGGCTAATCTCTGAAACGGCTAGACTGATTTTGACGGGGCTTTCACTGGCAGATAGCTTATGTGATAATTACTAAGGCTACTTTCCACATGGACAAAATTCCGAGTACAGCTAGTTTAATTTTATAAATTTTGCATTTACAATGGTGATATGATAACATCCAAGTTAATGAACAATACTTAAAAATCTATTTTAAGACAATCTTAAAGTGAATTTTTAAGTATTGTTCATTACTTTGGATGCCTTTAAAACACGATGGAATTAATCTTAAATTATTAATAAACTTTTTGGGTAAAAATATTGAATAATCATTGACATGAGTAGTTTATTATCGATTATAATCGATTACAAGAAATACTACAACAGATAAATCGATGTGTATAATAATCGAATCGGCACATCATCGGCATATCTGTCTTGTTATTTCTGATATTGTAATGGAAAGTGACTTCATAGTCTAATTAAGTCACATTCCAATAAGACTTATCTGTGTGAAATAAAACACGGAAAAAAGCAACCTTTGATGAGTTTCTTGCCGGTTCTTCTGAGTACAAGGTTCTCGCCGTAGTTTTGCACCCTCTGGCATAGTTTTCGACTTTAACAAGTACTATGTAACAGAAAAGACTTTTGGAATTTATTTATAATATTAGACGTTTGGAAGCCTAATGGCACATATGGAAATACAGCACATAAAAAACAAACTGAATTCTACGCTACGTTTTTCGTTCTTCATTCTAAACCTGAATTCGAAAGAATCGAATCAATTGAAGTTATGAGCATCAAATAAGATGGCTCATCACTTACGTTGACATACAATAAACCAGACCAAAACCAGACATAGTTCCTTTAGGGCGCTTGTGCACTACACTGAATTTCATGTCCAGCGGTCCGATCAGGATATATGTAGGTTTTTATGCCTGTGCACTGTAAGGAATTTTACCGTCCAGTATTTTACTTTTCTCTATTCCGGATCGGTTTTTTTCAGGTTCGTGATGTCGTGATTACGCTTGTGCACTGCTGTGTCCGCGATCCGGAAAATTCATGAGCCTGCGGAGTAGGCTTGGGAATAAATAATCGATTTATGACAACTCGATAATTATTTCGGCGATATTGTTAATATTCGATATACTGATAATGGATATATATTGTAGATTATAAAATGCGATATTTTATATGATGATTTAAGTTTTACGTACAGAAAAAGAAATGAAGAAAAAGCCTCGAGGAGCTTATGACCAAGCAGTTTGTGACAAAAATCGCCTGGCAGTTGTACGTCGGAATGACAACAAAGTCGTAACGTTGGTCAATACTTATGTAGGTACAGAACAGAAATCAAACGCTACTACAAAGAGGCCAAATAAAAAGTTGAAGTCAATTATCCACAAGTGGTCAAAGAATATAATAAACATATGTATGGTGTAGATTTGGCGGATATGCTCATCTCGCTATACAGAACTCCTTTCAAGACACGACGTTGGTATATCGGCATATTTGCCCAGCTGCTTGATATATGCATCAACAATGCATGGCTATCTTACAGAAATGATTGTACTACAGTAAAAAATAAGGCTATGCCCTTAAAGGCTTTTAGGTACGAAATCTATGAAGGACTCAAAAAGAATAGACGTGCTGTAATTTACCCACTCGACATCAAAAAACGACCACAAAAAGCGATACAGCCAGTTCCCGTTGAGTCTTCGCGTGGGTCATTTCATGACCATGACATCTCAGGGTCGGTGCAGGTTATGCTCTAAGTTCACGACTGTCATTTGCAGCAAATGCCAAGTCCGGTTATGTTTTGGTACCGGAAGTAAACCCAGGAATTGTCAACTAATTTATAATTTTCAAAAATGAGTAGAGTTTCTGGGTTTACTGCCAATGACAGTGTCAGAGGCATTATAACCGCTACTTTGCTTTCATAATGTATGTCCATCAACTCATTTTTATAAGAGGTATGATTTATGTTTGTTTTTAATTAAAGTTACAATACATATTTATGATTTTTATTCTTACTGGATATGGTAAGGTATGTCCCAACATACATTCAAATTGATACATATTTCTTTACCCACTTGGCAATGTATGTAGTACCATACATGATTTTTCAGGAAAACTGAAAACCCTAGATTTTTTTTACTATTTTTCTGGGCATATTTAGGCTCTACACATTCCTATTTCCGTATTTGTTTTAATTCAAAATGTTATTTTTTTTTTTGCCAAATAAAGGGTTAATAAAGTTGGTAAATATCACTGAATATGCCATGGCAAACTTGATATTGTTCTAATTTGGACGTCGTATGGTTATAGTATCGATACTTTGCTAGATTCTAGAATCGTATTAAAAGTATCCGGTTTCTTTTCACGTATATAAGTAAATTAATTTTCAAAAATCATTAAACAACTCATATAATATTTTTATGTTTTCGTATTTGTAATGAAATTTTCAGTTTTTTAATATATAGGTAAAAGGAACGGAAAGACTAACATTGGTCTATTCGTTTCCTCGCAAATTTTGCTAGAATCGCCATCTAGTGAGGTACTTCTTTAGTGCTTTCATTTTTTATTAAAATACTTCCTCATTAGTTGTTTGACGAAAGAGTTTTTATTAATAAAACTATGTATTTTTAAAAGGTTTGATCGTATATATTTTTGAAATATGTTTCATTATTCAGAAGTCACAGATCCGATTCCGTTTTATATCAAGTAATTATTGGACACGTTCATAATATATATTTTTTATATTATTATTACCGAAACGTCTGAATATCAGAAACGTCTGAAAAATGTAAAAAGTCACGAAGCCACACCGTCTAGGCAAAGTCCCGGCTTACTTCAAAATCCTTGCTAAACTATCGTGATCGTGATATCTATTATTATCTATCTGAATTGTTTTACTGTATAATAAACAGTTTTTTACTTTATCAATTAAACAATACTGCGAAAAAAATATAATGAAAATAATTTCAATGCGCAATTATAAAAAAAAATATATTTAATTCATAAAAGTAGTGACTCTAAAATTGCAATCTTTTTTTAATTAATAACTACTTAATTACCTAACAGTACCTATGTAATAATTATTACAACATAATTTTAACTGTAACTCGTACCTTTGGTTATTAGGTAACTTACTAATAAAAGATAATTTTCGTATATAATTAAAGCTAATAAAATTATGGCTAAATATATTATTAAAAAGGTTACGAACAATACATTTACAATTCATTTATATTGCATTTTTTTACTCACTACATAAAATTGGTATTTACCTGGCATAGATATTTTTTTTACTATACATGATGTATGTTAAGTGCCTTTTACACAGATAAAGGAGAACCGTACATTTTTACACGCGACTATATTTTATACAATGTTCATTTTACGGTTGATAAAGTAATAATATAGTAAAGCACCATCAAAATAATCGTGTAATTTTAATTTCATTGCAATCCTTTATAACGCCACGTCTTTATATTTGGTGAGGTCATCAGATTCATTACCAACTGAATTGTGGCTGTTCCGCATCCCATAAAACACCCGTTCTCTCGAACCGCTGAATCTGTAGGGTTCGTGTCGTAACAGATTGACTCCATACGCCGCATCTTCTCTTTTATAATCATAAAACCTCGGGTCGTATTCGGGGTAAGGGTAACAAGGTCTATAAGGATACGCCATCTCGCTCTTGCATTCTGTTCTGTCATCGTACTCGTATTTAGCGGGGTATTCGTCGAAAGCGCCTACTACTGAGTGTCGGCGTTTATACGGGTTGTCATAGGGGCCGGAACGAGGGCCAACCCAGGTACCGTACATTTGCGGTCCAGGGTAGGACTTGGGAACACCTCGTAGGGACGCAGCGTACTGTCTGTCTGCATACTGACGGTCCGCGTACTGTCTGTCCGCGAGATGCTGCCAATAAGCCGGGGGTGGTTGTGGGAGCATCATTGGATAACCCATGTTCATAGATTGTCGCGCGGCGAGGTGTCGTCGTAAGTCCGGCATAGAACCTGCTTTACCTGTAATGGGAAAATATGATACTGAATGTAGTTTCCATAACTTTAATGCAATCGTCTATCTATCTAGTTTGAATATTGCATATTAACATTTAAACTTATCAATTAGAAAAATACCTATAATTTTCAATTCAACTCTATATACAGAGGCTTCAGCTTGCTTTCAAACATCTCAAAGATAAAGCAGAAAATGAGTAGTCGTGCCTCACATGACTACTAATATTTTCTAATAGAGGTAATTAAAAGTCAATAAACCATTAAGGTTACATGTCATACTTGAATATTAAGGTTTGTTTTTTGACAATTCCAACTTTGTAACGTATAACAATAGCACGTTAGTATTTTCCCACGAGTTAATCTATCTTTAACCATAATATTTACAATGGCCGTCTCATAATACGCGAGGCATTATCAAAAGTATTAAATGTCCCCCATAAAAATATATGTCGCTTGTAAAGGAGTAACATTCAGTTGTAACATAATATATTTATATTAAATATATTTAACATTTGTTAATATTAGATGACAAGGAAAAGTAATCTCTACATATATAAGAGATGTCCTGACATACTGACTGACAGACAACGCACAACCTAAGTAGCTGATCGTAGAGACTTGAAATTTAGAGGTTTATTATAGAACGGATTTTTAGAAATTTCATTCCAAGGGGGTCAAAAAGGGTGAAAAGTTTGGTATGAAAATTTCTTTGTTTTTGTTTTCTTTCTTTTTCATTCTTATATCGATAAAAATTGTTATTTGAGTAGTTTACATCCCTGGAAAGGTGATAGGTTATATTTTATCCCGGAAACCAGCACTTTGAGGGATAAAAAAGGAGTGTAAGTTTTTATGGCAAATGAATATGTTACCATAGCAACCATTGTTTATATTTGATTTGTCATTACAATAAATCTGTCTTATATTATTTAGAAATATTTTATTAGATAGCGATCAAAATAGGTAATCGAGTAATTTATAACATCACTACTCACTAGATGGCACAGTTTGTTTGTTTGTTTGAACGCGCTAATCTCAGGAACTACTGGTTCGAATTGAAAAATTATTTTTGTGTTGAATAGACCATTTATCGAGGAAGGCTTTAGGCTATATAACATCACGCTGCAACTATTAGGAGCGAAGAAATAATGGAAAACGAGTTCGAAGTCGCTGGCGGCCACTAGTATTCTATATCGCGCTGTTTTGGTCAAGGTTGACTTTTAAAATTAAATTAAATAGGAACATTAAGCTTTGCTCTACTCAAAAGCTGCCGTTTGGTTCAAAGCATTTTACGTAGATTTCTGTTTTCTATAAGTTTTGTGTCAACTTCAGATTTGGGTTTTTCTTTCTATCTGTATTTCAAATAAGGTAATTTTCGGTTTTTTGGTGTCTTCGAAGTTAAACATTTATAATATAGTATTTTTTTATAGTATTCGTAGTTACATAGTCTCTATTAAAAGGCGATGTGCAAAAGATACGCTACATGTAGCGGAAATGTAAATGCTCGGCTGGTCTGGATGTGTCACGCGATACCATAAACCTAGAAACGAATAAATATAACTTAAATATTAAAATATAACTAAACGTGTGACTTTTCAAATTTATCAATAGAAGAAGGTAATCGTAGACTGTGAGTTCATACTGTGGTACCTAATATATTGAAATTAATAAAGCGTTGGTTAGGTACCTATTATTGATCAACTCCATGGAATTTCAAGTGTAACATATTACCTATCAGTAAATAATCTTACCAGTGTCTGGCATAAAACCATCGTTGGTGAATGCATTGGTGGCATCCGGAACGAAGTGGCTCGCGTCGAACTCGCTGCCACTCACCGCAGCACCATTAGGATACCCAGCATTCCTGAAGAGAAATGTACATTAAATTAAAACACGCTTTTATCCCATACAGGTGGATTCAGTTAGTCACCACGCATAGTGCAGGCGACCTCTTCGTGCGAGTCTATGTGGAATTCCATCCCAGTTTCTTCCCAGAAGTATTCCCAGTTTATTATGATGATTCTTTATAGGTTTATTGGATAACCATAATCAGTCTAACCTGGCTTCTCTGAGAGCATACGCTGACTGAACTAGGACGACTCCTATGACTACCGCTGGCAAGCGAGCCACGTAACACGCTAGCTCAGCTCCGCCATAAACCCCTTGAAGACCCTGGGAACATAATTTTCTTGTGTGAGCAGTTAATGTTTTGTTTTTCGTCAGAAATATAAAGTATTTGATGTAACCCATAATTATATTGGTAAGCAACTGCTGCAATCGATGAGATATTCACGCTTTGTAGACTGTTGAGCTCTGAATACTTCCTTGCTAAATAGTCAATAGCACTTACAAATATGCAACAATGAATCAAAAAGATCGTAAGAACTTCTAGAAAAAAAAACCGCCCAAGTGCGAGTTAAACTCGCGCACGAAGCATTCCGTACTACGAGGGTCAAACTGAAAGTTCTTAGAACTGGCCACTTATAAACAATATAATAAAAAAATAATTCTAAAATTTGAAAATATAACTCTTTGCCAATATTACTGAGTATATATTTCATTCATTTGTCATTTGTTTTACGATTTGGCGGCAAATTGAAAATTGTCTGTGTCACGTCATCATGAATTTAACACGAGAAAATTTTCGTGCAATGATTTTTTATGACTTTCGATGTCATTTAAGTCAACAAGAAAGTTATGATAGACTACGATTGGCCTTTCACGATGAAGCCCCATCTCGTGCGACTGTTTACAACTGGTTTAATGAGTTTAAACGTGGTCGCACTAATCTCACTGATGATTTACGTGAGGGACGGCCTTCTACGGCGACGACTGAAGATAACATCTGTGTTGTGCGACGTATGATAGAGACTGACAAAAGAGTGACCTATCAACAGATTCGGACAAGCTTAGGCATCGGTATGAGTCAAGTGCACAAAATCCTCCACGAACATTTAGCGGTCAGGAAGCTTTGCGCCCGGTGGATACCTCATAATTTGACTGAGGCTCAAAAACTCCATCGTGTGGATTGGTGTCGTAAAATGATTGAAAGATTTAACGGAGGTGACTCAAATGCTGTGTTCGACATACTAACAGGTGACGAAAGCTGGATTTACTGTTATGATCCTAAAACCAAAAGACAATCTGCTCAGTGGGTGTTTCCTTTCGAGGAGTTGCCAACTAAAGTGAAGAGAGATCGAAGTGCGGGAAAAAAAATGGTGGCCTCGTTCTTTGGAAGGATAGGTCATTTTGCAACAATTGTGTTAGAGGATCAAAAAACAGTTTCTGCAGAATGGTACACTACCAATTGTTTGCCACTTGTCTTGGAAAAAGTTCGAGAGAAACGACCTCGCAGTAGGATCCTCCTTCACCACGACAACGCCTCGTCGCACACCGCCAAGCGAACGATCGACTATTTGGCGACATCAAACGTTGAATTACTGGGTCACCCGCCGTATAGCCCCGACCTCGCGCCTTGTGATTTTTATTTATTTCCAAAAATTAAAGAAAAACTTAAAGGAAAGCGGTTTATGAATTGGTGGGGAAAAATGAGATGACTGACTGACTGACCTGTCTGGCGCTGGTTGCTGATGTTTTGAGATTTAGATAACAGCCGTCCTTTCCTTTATCTCTTCTTCCCCAACAATTTCAGCTGATAGTACGCGACCGCGACGCTAGTACGACGTGCGTATCACTACTTTTTTTTTAATGATGAATTCGAGACAACGCGAAAACGTGTCTGCTGATGCTCAAGTAACGAATGTCAAATCAGTCTGGGGTTTTTAGATAGGAAAGGTAGGCAGGAAAAATAATGAAAACTTATTACCCTCATATAAAAAATAAAAGAAACCAATACAATGACGCACCATACCGCCCCCCAAAGAGCGGCTTAGCTCTTTTATTTGACTTTTTTTTTCTTTTTTTTGGTGATGATATAATTCAAGCTACAAGTGTCTAAATTAAATTTAAGATATATATATAATAAGTAAATAAAACATATAAATAAGTTGAGGTAAATGCGAATATTATGTGTTAGTTGGATATAAACGACAAAGTTTGAGAACCGGTCTCAATAGAGTTCCAGAAGCCGTTTTAAGTTCGACCACCCTTACTACACCATCGGTACCAGGACAAAGTCTGATAACGCGAGCCTTACGCCACTGAAGCGGTGGAGAGTGCTCTTTGATGAGGACTAGATCACCGACACGAATGTTTTCGCACTTGTTAAGCCACTTCGGGCGTTGCATTAGAGTGTGCAAATACTCGGAATGCCAGCGCTTCCAGAAATGTTGCGTAATTTGTTGGAGCACCTTCCAACGCCTCAACGGGCTGATGATGGAATCCGCTATATCTGGTTCAGGTAATGACAGAAGTGGTTGCCCTATGAGGAAATGACCCGGCGTTAACGCTTCGAGATCACTGGGATCATTTGTTAAGGGACACAATGGCCTTGAATTTAATGCTGCTTCAACTTTAGAAAATATTGTAGCCAGCTCTTCGAAAACTAGCGTGCGTTCACCGATCACTCGATTTAAAATAAGTTTGGCAGATTTGACCGCGCTTTCCCACAAACCGCCCATGTGAGGGCTGGCAGGTGGATTAAGATGCCAATTGATTCGTTGAACAGATAAATGATGATATACCTTTGATGATGTGTCCTTTAAAAACTTGTGAATTTCCCTTAAATAGTTTTTTGCCCCAACAAAGTTTGTGCCACAATCGCTATATATATCCGTAGGTAGCCCGCGACGCGACACAAAGCGATCCAGACATGCAATGAAGGCCTCCGTAGAAAGGTCAGAGACGACTTCCAAATGGACACTCTTAGAGGTGAAACAAACGAAAATGCATAGGTATGCTTTCACAGATTTAGCATTTCGAATTCTGGAAACCTTATGTAAGAAAGGGCCAGCAAAATCGATGCCAACACGCTGAAACGCTCTACATGAATTAACTCTATTTGCTGGTAAATCAGCCATGTAAGGTTCGATAGCTTTGGGGCGTAAACGATAACAACGCTGGCATTTAAAAATAACGCGCTTGATGACACGTCGAGCAGATAAAATCCAAAATGTTTGTTGCAAAAGTGCTTGAAGTAGACCTAAGCCTGGATGTAAATACAAACGATGATAGTGATCGACGATGAGATTAGTGATGACGTGATCCTTTGGTAGCAACAAGGGATGTTTTGCTGAATAATGAAGTTGAGATTTGGTGAGCCTACCACCTACCCTTAAAAGCCCGTCGGAGTCAATAAACGGACTAAGGCGCATCAAACCCTTTCTCGTGTTCTTGCCGGCACGCAAAGCTTCTAGATCTCTAGCAAACGCCGTAGACTGAACTAACTTGACGATAGTGTTCAAGCTATCGTTCAATTCTGAGACTGATAATGGCCCAGTACGACGCTGCGTTCTATTGAGAGTGTTATGCATAAAACGCTTGCACCAGCCTACAATTGTCTGTAGCCTGGGAAACGAACTGAATCTCTCAAAGATGAGCGGTGCGACGGCAGTTTCAACGACGACTGATAAAAGAGGAAGAGATTTGATACCCGGTAATTCGCTTTCACTGAGCAATGGTACATCTCCAGACCACGACGAAAGACAACCTTCGAGCCATGGCGGAGACCACCAGATCGAATGATTTGCCAACTCGGAAGGTGGAATCCCTCGACTGGCCGGGTCGGCGGGATTCGCTGATGACGAAACATGTTTCCACACGAGGTCAGGCATAATCATTTTGATTTGGGAAACGCGATTACCTTCGAATGTTTGAAGTTTATGTGGTGAGGTATTCAACCAGGACAATACAATACTGGAATCGGTCCAGCCGTACAAATTATTTATTTTGAATTTGGGCTGTAAGATGCCGAATGTATGCTCGGTCAGACGAGCGAGCAAGAGAGCACCACTTAGCTCAAGTTTGGGGATAGTTAACTTTTGTTTAATGGGAGCCACACGGGATTTGGCGGCTAGAAGTCGAACCAAAATACTACCGTCCGAGTCTTTAACGCGCAGGTAGATGCATGCTGCATACCCGCGTTCGGACGCATCACAGAAACCGTGAATTTGAATATCGATCGGTTGATCTGTAAGAATACGTCGCTGAATAGAGATGAGATTTAAATTGGGAAAGTCGGATAAAAATGAATTCCACTCCTTCGCAATCTCGGAAGGCAGGGGATCATCCCATCCAGTATCCAAAAGCCACAACCTTTGCATAAAAAGCTTCGCATAAAAAATCGTTGGAGCTAAGAAACCACATGGGTCGTAAAGTTTAGCGATACTAGATAAAACTCCACGTTTTGTCATGGAGCAACCAATATCGTCTACCTTGTAAATAAAACTATCACAATTGGATTTCCATTCAATTCCTAAAATTTTATAAATGCTATCACCGTCCTCGAAACGATATGGAGCTTCACAGTGATCGGATGGACAGGCTGACAAGAATTCATCAGAGTTACTACACCATTTTCGTAATATGAAACCACCCTGACTTAAAATGGCGACAACGTCACGTTGCAATTGAAGAGCAGAACCAACGCTGGAAGACCCGCTGACGACGTCATCGACAAACGTGTCCTCAAAAAGTGTGGTAGAGGCTTCAGGGTAACGATCAGAGTTAAGGCGTGCGAGTTCATGAATGACACGAATCGCCTGATATGCTGAGCTGGAAACACCGTAGGTGACAGTTGTTAATTCGTACTGTCTAAGTGGAAAATCAGGAGATTCGCGCCATAAAATTGTTTGATAACGTTGATCATCCTCATCAATGTTGATTTGGCGGTACATCTGTCGGATGTCACCAGTGAAAACAATCTTGTGAATTCGAAATCGTAAAATAATATCCTCAATGTTTTTCTGCAATTTGGGACCTGACATAAGTATTTGATTCAGAGAGACGCCAGACGAACTAGGCGCAGAAGCGTCAAAAACGGCTCTCAATTTGGTAGTGCTACTGTGTTCTTTTAAAACACCATGATGAGGTATAAAATATCGATCGGAAGACCCAGAAGTTGGGACTTCCTGCATGTGGCCGGCCTCGAGGTAGTCGCGCATAAATTCAACGTAAAGCCCTCGCAACCTACTATCCTTGAGAAGTCGTCGCTCTAAATGAAAAAACCTCTTTAAAGCAGAAAAGTGAGTGTCACCCAAGGGTCTATGGTTGACCTTGAAAGGCAAACGTAACTTGAAACGGCCTGTGCTATCCCTAGTATAAGTTTCTTGAAAATGTTTTTCACACAAAATGTCTTCAGGGTCCGAAATTGAAGTTTTGGGTGGTTCCTCAGTTTCCCAGAATGAACTTATAGCCTGATGCAGATCGAAGGTGCAAGCCATCGCAGTGGTATTATAATTCAAGCTCGATGCAGCAGGAGCTTTGCCCATGATGACCCAACCAAAGATAGAATAATAGGCAGTAGGCATGCCCTCACCGAGACTGAACTTCCTTCCGTCAAAAATCTGATCATATAACCCAACTCCGAGAAGTAAATCAATGTGGCCAGGAGTATTAAAATTTCTATCTGCTAAAATTAAATTTTCACAAGTCTCTAAAACCATTTTATGTATTGGAACTGTAGGGAGATTGCCAGTGATACGCTTTAAAATAACAAAATCAGAGAACAAAATATGTTTTGATTTGTGTGTAGATGTGATGTTTGTTTGTACGGTACCATTGGTATGCTGATTTGACACAACACCCAAACCATACAAGGAACCTGAATGAGAGCGAGGCAATCTTAATTGTTGTGCCAAGCTTTCAGTGATTATAGAAACCTGAGAACCACTGTCAATCAACGCACGAGCTGAATGATAGTGACCATCCACATCTTGTATTTTTAAAATAACAGTCCCTAAAACCATTGTGGATGTACCATCAATGCCATGAAGCGATTGAGTTTGTGTTACATTACCATCAATATGCTCCGAAGACACCTGAGAAAAATCACGGCTCTGAGCGGAGTTTAAATGTAATTTAGTGTGATGCCGGCCATGACATATTTGACATGTACTTCTTGACATGCATTTTGATACATGATGTGTGCGAAGACAATTGAAACAAAGTTTTTGTTGTTTAATAAAATTCTTTCTATCTATAACGCTCATATTTTCAAATTTGTGGCATTTGTAAATAAGATGGTTTTCATTGCAGCATGGACATTTACTCAAACACTGAGTCGACTGAATAGATGTATCCACAACATTAAAAGAATTACTTGTAATTGATTTAGTTGTGGAACTAGAAAGGTTTTCTAAAATTCGCAGCTGATTTTCTAAAAATAAAAGTAATTCCTTAAATGTTGGAATGCTATTTATATCAATTGTTGATTCAAACTTTGCTCTGATATCTATAGGTAATTTTTTAAGAATTATGTGTAAAAGTAGAAAACACCAAGAGTCCACCTGAAATTTTAGTGAAATTAATGCTTGTGTATTTTCTTTTATTGTGTATAAAAACTTATTAAGAGATTTTGTATTTATTTGTGTTAGGTTAGGTAAGTTAAGGATTGCATCTATATGTTTGTCCGCTATAATCCTTTTGTTTTCATAGCGTTCACTAAGTAATCTATATGCAACTATGTAATTTTCATGTGTAACAGTGAGATGCCTAATTAAAGATAACGGTTCTTTGTCCAACACACTTAACAAGTAATGCATTTTTTCAACTTCACCCAATCGTTTATTATTGTGAATTAAACTGTTAAAGATTGATATAAAATTAGGCCACTCAACTGAAACACCACTAAATTTAGGCAATGATATTTTAGGCAAATGAAATTCGGTAGTTGTGTTGTGCTCGAAACGGTCAGTAGTGTGAGATTTCTTAGTAGTTAAATTAGCATGTAACACTTGAATTGAATAAAACTGTTCCTGGAACTCATTATAACCACCTTCCAATTCGGCACGTTCCTTCTCATCAAACTTTTTGTCGGACATTAATGTAGAATATATATCATCCATTTGATCACGATGTTTTTCGATATCGTTATACCTAACCAAAAACTGATCATACTTATCACTTTTTTCTTGTGCTGCACTGCAACTTGTAGCTAAATCATACAATTCATGTATTCTTTTTTGTAAAATGCCGAAGCGAATGAATAAGTTACTTGGCTTAGACATTTTGTTTTATGCAATTAGATTCAGTTTCAAATTAAAATAGTTTTATCAGAAAATCTACGAAATACGAAGGTAAAAAAATACTTATAATACTGTTTTAACAATGATGATGACGGTCGACGTCAGTGTTAATAATTGACAATGACAGATTATGACAATTGCTGTCAATGTCAATTATGAGCTATGTACGATTGAATGAACACAGACAATTTAATTGAATGAATGATGTCGATCTACAATCAAATGAATGGTCGAAAAAGAACGAATGGTTACGATCGAAACAAATATGGGGGTAATAAAAATATTAATTTAATATGCTGAATTGCTGCTTATTAAATAAGGAAAAAAGTAGGATTTCGGGAAAATGAATTTATTTGGAACGAAGGACCACGGGAAATGGTGGGGAAAAATGAGATGACTGACTGACTGACCTGTCTGGCGCTGGTTGCTGATGTTTTGAGATTTAGATAACAGCCGTCCTTTCCTTTATCTCTTCTTCCCCAACAATTTCAGCTGATAGTACGCGACCGCGACGCTAGTACGACGTGCGTATCACTACTTTTTTTTAATGATGAATTCGAGACAACGCGAAAACGTGTCTGCTGATGCTCAAGTAACGAATGTCAAATCAGTCTGGGGTTTTTAGATAGGAAAGGTAGGCAGGAAAAATAATGAAAACTTATTACCCTCATATAAAAAATAAAAGAAACCAATACAATGACGCACCATGAATGCTGAAGAAGCGGTGGCTGCGTATCGCGATGCCATTGAAGAGACCCCTAAGGACGAGTGGGCAAAGTGCTTTTCCCAGTGGTTCCATCGCATGCAGCGGTGTATTGACGTGAATGGACAATATTTTGAAAAGATATAATAAAACTAATAACTGGCTAATGTAATCAGTTTTTGATTTTCTAAGAACTTTCAGTTTGACCCTCGTATTATTATCTATTAAAAAATCACGTTTGCTGTTATTTTCGAGTTAAATACAATTAATCTACTCGTAAACTTGTAAAGCCAACTTAAGTGTGATATAGGTACTTCTGCAGTAACGCTTAACTTTTTACTAATGACAGTTTAGTTAGTAAAGAGGGGAGGGCACTTGACTCTAATAAAAATTTGCTCTTCAAAGCTTTATAAGTCAGCAACTGTTTACTAAATCGAAAAATGGTCTTCCCACATCCCCAAAGTTTTGAAAGACATATCCAACGATGCCCGACAATCATCATCCCCATTTTATATATAGGAAGGTTATGATTTTTTTTTTTATAATTTTACTTTACCTTTTTGTCAGCATAATTACCGTGTATACTCATACCAAATTACAACTTTTTAGTACCAATAGTTTTTGAGCTAAACCGCGGACAGACAGACGGAAATGGCGAAACTATAAGGGTTCTTGGCTTACTACGGAACCCTAAAAACATTAAATATAGACCTTGTTGTACTTGCATTTTATGTAGGTATTTAAGATCAATATTCGTTCGACAAATTTCGTGCAGAATTTTGTATAATAAAGTAGTTAACAACTAATGAACTAAAAAAGTGGCAAAAGAGCGTTCTGATACATATAAACAATGTTGAACCTGCTAACAAATATTTGTTTTATAAACGAAGAGAGTATAAATAAATCCAATAGTGACAATGCTTTACTTACCCAATGACTAATGGACATATAAAAGACTAGAGCACATTCTGGAATCAACACGAGGATCACTGCGATCAGCCACGCCAGAAGGTATTTATTGTTTTTCTGCAAATCAATAATATAAAAATTGATGATTTCATATGAAATTATAATAAAAAAAATTAAATAGACTTAAAAAAACGTAATAAAGAAAAACAATTGAAAAGAGTGAAATAATACCACAATTTATTTATATTTTCTCGAGAAAACAGCTAATGTACTTTATAAGACAGAGAAATGTAAATCGATTTCAGAGTTTATCTGTTGATAGTTAAGTTCAAAACTGTATTCCAGCAGCTCAGCATACGATTTGCCCATATCGTGGACAAGTCACTGTTATTCTGTCCCAACCCCATGAGGGGAATAAGTCGCCAAAGTGCTCATCACACATACCGATATAAGTCCGTGGACCAGCGTTACAGTGGCTGCTATTACTATGCAGTAGCAGGCCATCAGCAGCACGGACGCCACCGGCAGCCCGCCCTGGGACTCAACTATCCACACCACTTCATATATCAGAGCTATAGCGTACGCCACCTGCAAATTTATAATTTAATTATTATTAGACCAGGAAAGACGCAAATATATAATTTGTTACGTTTAAGCTGCTCCCTTGTTTTGAGCGTATCTAGAGATATTTTCCAGGGACTCGAACACAGTGCTGTCACAGCATAATCTCATTAAAATAAAACGTTTATTGCCTTTTTAAATAGTTTTTATTTCATTGAACCTGTGCGTGTTTTCATAATTTTTTATTACTGAAAATTCTGGGATGGGCACCAGGCAATTCTCGAGAAGGCTTCAATTAAGGGATATTACTTAATTACTTTTCAAATCTTTTGCTTATATTCAAGGACAAGTTAGAACCTAAATATGTCAAGACGTCATGATTGACAATCTAGCAAAGATTTTAACGACTCAACAGTTTGTATAACTGACATTTCTAAATCAAACAAGCGTTGTTACCGAACCCTGTGGTTGTTACTGTGTCCAATACATACGTTTAACAATACATTGTGTTTACTGCCATATGTCAATCATTAAGATTAATACATTTTGGTGTACTACTTAACTCTATAATATATTACACCACAATGAACAGGATTGCTAAAAAATTGTAATTTATTGATGTATGCTCTTAATTTTGTTGCTTAATGCACATTTTAGAATCATGGGCATCAAAAACAACTCTTCACTCAAGAAATCAAAATTATATCATACTAGCTTTTACCCGCGACTCCATCAGGTACAATTATGGTATACTTGTACCATTATTGTACCTGATGTAGTCGCAATTATGGTCTACCACTACTTTGGATCGCAATTTTAATTTTAAGGATATTTATATTAAAAGAGATAGAGACTACTGTCAGTTACAGTAAATACCGTTATAATATTAAAAACAAATGAAAATAAACTATTTTTACCGAAAGAAATAAACGGTAAGCGACAACTTTTTACTTGTAAGCTTAAGGGGAGCGGCTGAAGACCTTGAACTAGGAAGGTTCTCTAAAAATTGATACCTACAGTTATCTTATCTTTAACAAGAATTGTATAATTTTTTTTGAAGCTCACGTCTATAAGAGTTCTTAGACTTATGTAATTGTGTGTTTTAGTCGAATACAGGTATGGTAGATAAATAAATATTTAACAGCTCACTTGCTAAACAGAACTGCGTTTGACATGTGTTGTTTCGAGGAATGTTAGATAAAGCTCTTCTCACATTGTACTACTGAAATTTATGTAGATATAGGTGTAACAGAATCTGATGGAAAAAAAAACAAAAGAAAAAATCTCGATTTTCATATTGCAGTATAAATTATTTACTGATGACAACTGGCAAGTGAAAGTGTAAATTGTTGTGAATATTTGTGAAAATTCCAAAAAGCCGTTCATATCTCAAGCGAGAAATATGAATTTTAATGTTTATAGCAAAATTTGTGAAAATAAGTTGAAGATCAATGTTTTTTTTTTATTTTAAAATGTTTTTATGAGTTGACCGGTAACTAGCAGTGACGAATCTTAACGCTTTTTTTTTAATAATTAATTTTTAAATATTCGTCTGCGTGTCGACTACTACAATAAAACAAATTATTGGTAAAGTAGAAGATCCAATAAGGAGAATAAGCTATAAGATACAACTTTTAACTTTATGATTTAGGATTAAATGCTTGGGTAGAGCCACAGGCACAGGTTACTGTCAAAAGTTTATTATTTTTAATACCATGCTTCCTATTATAAAGTAAATCAAATAATGCACGGAGGGCCTACCGTCTACAAGTTTACTCTCACTTTATTTCGTCATCCTATGAGATAACTGCGTACAATATGGCCTTAAAAGAAACCAGAACGTCGAGATCTGTGACTTTCCTTCTTTTTCATTTTGAGTTTTTACTGCAACGAGTCCAATTACGCTGGTTTTTGTATGACCGACCAGCATTTGTACACATTCAAATGGTTCGTTTTGTTGTTATAAGGTCTATTTCTATTCTTATTCTAGATGTATTCTAGACAATTCTTGTTGAATCAATGTAATGCTGTCCTTATTTGTAATTTTCTTTGCGGAATCTTATTCTTGTTATGGAATATTTCCTATTATTGGTACATATACGTAACTAATTCAATTCTAGATGTAACTATACTAATACTATTAAGAGAAAAGAGTATTGAATAGGCTCCTAAATTACTGACCAGATATTATTAATCCTTTCACCTACATAGGTAAAAAGCTTACATATGCTAGGTATATTATGCAGGTGGCTTTGGCTATAATTAACTCGGGCAAAGTCTCGGTTAATAGCTTGTTAATTATAAATGGTGTTAATAAATGTAGTTGTCGCCCGTGACCTCATTGACGTGGATTTTGGAATACCAATACCAAAATGTAAAAAGTATCCATATTACAATCTCTAATGTGTGTCCCACATTTAAATATACTCAAGTTTTTCGTTGTTGAAATACACTATTGATAATATCGTGTCACTTTCTAGCCGAAGAGTAGGATTAAGTAAGTTTTCCAAATATATTTTGCGAATAAATCAAAAATAGTTAATAACGTTCTATTTCGTGCAACACGCCATCATCTATCCCTATTTGTCTTATTGACCGGCCTATAAATTTCATCTCGTCTTTGTCTTTAAGAGTAGCTATAAAATGAATAATTATTATCTAAGACATATAGACAAATTTATAAATCTTTATTTTCTACATATACTCTACATATAGACTGGTACACAAACATGACATCTCAAAGTTGTCAAGTTCATCGTGCGTGTATCTCGAGTTACTATGGCCGTAATTCAGGGGACACATAAAAAGGTTAATAGTCTGCCATTAGTGGGCACAACAAATGAAAATTACAGCTTTTCACTTTTTCGCTCATTTTATAAATAACGACATTACTACTATGAATCAGCTTTTCATATATACGCTTTATTAATCTTTAAAAATTTTCACGCTGGCCTTGATGATGTTGATGTGATGTATTACATTAGAATCGTCGAGTTTTTTATTTCCAATGAGAAATATTTTGAGATAAAGATTACTTTATTGTTTATTTATTTAACGTCTAGCTAATAAGACAGTTATATATAAAATAGAAACAACAAGAAACTACAAAACTTTGGTAGAAGAACGATGAATGAAACAATTCAGTTGATAAGACTGTGTTAGGATGTGCACGACTGTGTTTAAAGAATACAAAACGAGACAAATTTAACAGACTGCGATAATGGGGGCTAATAGAAGATGGCGCTAGTAAAGTTGGGAGTTTTGACAGCTGTCACTCGATTCTAATTGCAAATCAAACCAATATTGCATGCCTAGTCATATTCAAGCGTTTCATTAGCTGCCGTTGAGAGAAAATATAATAACAAACGTTTTAACCTAATTAGACACGTAATGTAGTTTTCTCATATTACGTTTAAGTGACATTAAACTTTATTTCTTTAACAATCAATTACAAAATATAATTTTTAGCAGACTAAAAAATTTTCATATTCTTTTTAAACAAACAAATGTTTATTTTACATGAAATATCTCATCTCAGAGTATCAGGTGTCACTCCGGTCCATTTCTGCCAACAAGGTGTCATTTTGAAAGCCACGAATTATCAGAGTGACATTTTGAAGCCCATGGTGAAACCCCTGTCTGATACGTTATTTGCAATAAGGATTAAGTTTTTCAGCAAGACTCGGCGCCATCCCATAAGGCAAAAAGCACCCAAGCTTAGTTCATAGAGAATGTGCCGGCTTTCATCACGGTGTACGTGTGGCACTCCTCCAGCCCCAATCTCAACCCGCTGGATTATTCTTTAAGGGCTGAAATAGAGCTCAGGGCCTGCCGAAAGTCCCACCCAAACTTGGAGTCACTGAAGCGAACCCTTGTCCGAGAAGAAAAAACTAATTCCGCTAGAAAAGATTCGTGCCGCTATTAATGACTCGCCAAACCGTCTGTATTAAATGGTCTGTATTAAAAACAAGGGTGGTAATTTTGAGTAAAATATATATTTTATTGTTGATTATTGTGTATTTAATGGTTACTCAAAAAAATATAAGTTAATTACTAAAATAGTTACGCAACTTTTATTTCGACTCAAAACTTGAACAGACGAGGTATATTCAATCCAAAAAAGAAAAATTGTTTTATAATAATACTCACCAAGGCATAAGCAGCAATAAATCCGGAAGCGGCAGTGACGCTACAACAGAATATCTTGCTGACTGCTGGGCGCATGCGCGCCTTCGGTGACTCCACATCGGCCAGATCATTGCTAGTAGACATATTGCTTCAATACCAAATCCTCACCACTCTATTTTCATCTCTACCGCTATATTTTTAACCTTCTTATTCCAATCGTCATAATGAAAAAATATGTGAAATACTACATCTTCTCAAAGTCCAAGATTGAGGAGAAAGTTTTCTTGTATGACTCTGCAGGAAGCTGTAAAAAAAGAAATATTAACGAATTTATTTAGATTTCATTACCTACGTTCTATACAAAAGACATCAACGACTGTAAACTCGAAGATAAATTTATATGCAGCTCTACCGCGTCTGTTTAATAAATGCATAGACATAAAAATCCTCGACCAATTCTGGGTCCAATCCCCAGATTTTTCATAATAAATCTATGAGTTTAAGCTGATCTATCCATTTGGCAAATCATTTAGGGCGTCATTTCATTGACACACCAATCGACACTACAGTAACGCGTTAGAATTCTTGTTTTCAACAACTTAATTGCAGACCTGGCTGAAGAACTTTAAGACACATTTTAACAAATTGTATATATTATTACATAAAGACGAATCATTGAATCGTGCAAATGGCGATGAATGGAATGCCGTTGGCAATGGCTAAGGCTTCGCGATAAAGGACAATAACTGCTTAATTAGCTGAACTCTTCCTGGTTCGATTCCCACGAATGTCTGTAGAGAGTGCGTCGTTGTATGAGCTAATGACAATGTATTCCGAGTTGCTCATTATGTACATTTTTATGGTTACGGTGATTATGAAGGGGCCACTGGCTTTGATGTGAAAATGAAACTCAATTTTTAACCGACTTCAAAAAAGAGGAGGCTCTCAAGTCGACTCTATCTGTTTGTTGTATTTGTTTTTGTATGTTAGTTATGCGATTAATCCGCCAATTATGAATCGATTATCAAAATTTTTTATTCAACAGCTTCATGGGCTGAGGTGGTTTCGTCGAATACAAATCAGTATTTTTGATTTTATAACAAAAACAATGACATGTTAATATCAGCGAAAAAACAACAGATTAAATCAAGAAACTGCTATTGTAGTCCGGCGGAGGTTATCTGTATGTTATTAATTAAATAATACCCGCTCCACTTCAATACTAGTTTGTCTGAATACTCGCTTCTAAGATAAATATTATTTCTCACTATTTAAAGTTTGAAATGGGACCTATGTTTAAAAAACAAATGTTATGCTCTAGTGATATAAATGAATTTTTATATTTTGATTAATTTTGCATTCACAATGCCATACTGAAAATTATTCTTAAGCATTTTGTATTCAGAATAAATGTATTCTTTTGAAAGGTTTCTTTATTTGCTCGATATAATTTTTTTCAATGCATATCTATACTCATATTATAAAGAGGAAAGATTTGATTGCTTGTTTGTTTGCATTGAATATGCTCTATAACTATAACACCGATTTTAAAAATTCCTTCAAAACTACATTATACGCGCGGAACATAGGCTATAATTTACGCAGGTAAAGCACGGGGAAACGTTAGTCTGATAGAAATTGGTTTCATAATTCCAGAAGAAATCGATGAACATACCTATGTACTTACATTAAATATATATATATATACCCGTGAAACATAGAAATTCCTCCTTTCCGAATTTGAATGAATCTAAAATACCCTACCTTTCTTTAATTTTTCTGCTGATATAAATAAATACGTATTCTATATATTTAGGCGATATCCGATGAAAAACATATTCCGTTTTCTTATAAAAAGAAATCGATTTCGATAAAACTTTAAAACTAACTTAAACGGTCTTTCCTGTTGACCGATTTTCAAAATTCTTTTTTCGGTCAACAATTTGCGGAAAAATCGGTAACCTCTTTCTTATTAACCGTCTGAAGGTGTTATGTACTTGTCGAAACTTTATAGACTAGACTAGATTCCGCGTCCGCTCAAATTGTACAATTTGAAGAGCTTAATATAGTAGGAATTATAGGATCGTTTACAGTAGTCCCACCCTGATTGGTATTCTGTAATTAACACAATCTCTACGTCAAACGTCGAACACACCGATGTCACAGTATTCATTCATTCACTAGTACAACTGCATGTCGATCAAATCAAATAAACCTATTTCCTACGCGCGCATGTTACTCTACTCTGATAATACACTTTTATTAGTTATATAACGATTTATTTCCTATTAACATCAATGGTAGTTCATTTTCTTTTATATTATGGTGCTAAAATAAAGCATAAAAAAGATAATACTACGATTACAAGTCAAAGTAAGGTGTTTATGTACCTAAGCCGGCATCAAGTCATGGGAAATTATTCAGTGAATGCTGGGAAACTTATTGTGTACGATTTGTAGTTCCTATCTTCGTTTTGCTGTAACATTTGTATGTAAATAAGAACATACACATAATTTTAACGTGTACGCAAAAAAATAATTCATATTTATATACATAGGTTTTCATTCTTATTTAAGGTAAATGATAAAAGGTATACGTTAATGGTAGTTACCGTAGACCATGGGTGGCCAAACAGTCGATCGACCAGTCGATCGCGACTATTAGTCCAGTTGATCGTGGCAATTCAAAAAATATAAATAAAATAAAAATGCTACATAATTGTGTACGAACTACGCTGTTTCATTAAAGATTTTAAGAAGTAAAGTAATTGGTAGATCGTACTGAGTGTCGTCAGTGAAAAGTCGAGTCTAAACATGTTAATACAATATAATATTAGACGTACAAAGTTGTTTTTGATACAATGAAAAGATGAAGTATGAATTCTTAAAATTGTACAAATTAAATTTGACATCCTAGTGCCATTTAAGATGGCTTTTTGTATTATTTATAATGATCTTGATCTAGAACCCAGCCCAGATTTTGTAGGGTCTCGACTGTTATAGCGGTGCTTGTCACAGCCTAGACTGAACTTATTTTGATTTTAAAATGATTTTGATTTGGACTACTTTTAGTATAGATTGGTTATATAATGTGGTCATAATCCTTTCCGATAACTCTCTAGCTACTTAGCTCATATCTGCATATGAGATGTGGTCTAATATTCTATTTATACGTACATTTTATGCTTATTAACTTTGCTAACCTTACACATATGAACAATGACCTCGTATTCCATACGCTCTAAATATTGTTACTTTTATCACTTGACCTTACAATATAATATCTCATATAAACATCTTTGAATAGAGATAAAAACTATACCTTCACGTAATAGCATAGTAATAATTTATTGTTTCAGAAACGAAATATATTCGTACTTTTGCATGTAGGTCAATGTCAATGCATAGCAATGATATTTAAAGTATGTAGGTATAAATAATGTGAAAAGTACTAAAATAATCGAAAATATTAAGTAAATACACTTAAGACTCCTTTTTGAATTGCAAAAAAAGTGTTTGCTATCGTTTTTGTACTTAGGTAAATAAATGTATTTAAACTGTTAGTGTTGACGTACGGAAACTAGTTAGCCAACCTGCCATATGCCTATGTTATTTCATAACGCCAGCCAGTCTAACTTCTGGAAAAAGTATCACGTTTCAAGATTTAGTTGCTAATCACTATCCACATTAAATGTATCACACTAACCATCTTTAATGTCTTTTCCTCTCTTATTTTGTTTCTTCTTTTACATTTCTCGGAAACATGCCTCTTGTCTAATAATAATAACAATTCACATAACTATTTATTGAAGTCGGCTATTAATATAGAAGTCCTTTATTGCTTCCGACTGGTAAAAATCTCAGAATATTTTGTTATTTAAACTTAAAGGGGCGATCTGGATTTTTTAGCAGAATGCGTTTTAGCTACAGAAGAAAAAAGTTAAGTTATAAAAAAAATAATGTTTCATACCCACTATAGTGGATAACTTGAGATCTAATTAAAAAAAAAGATTTTTCTATTATTTAAGAAAAAATATTTTACACTATATCATCAGCTCTTTTACATCCCCACTGCAGAGGCTCAGGCCTTCCTTGTGAATGATTAAGGAGGATTATTGGTTAAGGGGCCATGACCCTTCACGCTGACCCAATGCGAATGGGAGGGTATTCACGACTACAAATACAGCCGGGACCAACGTGCCTTCCGAAGCACGGAATAATTCGAGATAATAGGTTTTTTGGTCACACATCCACTACGCCAACGAGCTACATTTTATATCATATCACGTATTTCATCATATTTAGGTGTTATTAAAAACTGCTACTATTCTAATCCACTCTATTCATCACTGAAAGAAGTTCTACATATCAGTTATCACCTTTTGAAGTAGGTATCATTTGATAGAATCTCTATGCGATGAAAGCGCTGCATTCAACGTGGAGTTCGAAGATGGTGTTTTCAACAAAAAATTATTGCGGAAAATCGATTATTGAGTAAGAAAAGTTGTATTAATGCTACCAATTGGATAAAGACAATTTTAATTATCGAGTAAAATGGTAACGATCGAGAAAACTACATTACACTCCTTCGTCTACTTTCCCGAATACTTAACAAAGAGGTAGACAACGTTGAGTCATTCACTGAAACTGGTTACAGATAAAGTTCAACTTCTTAATGTACGCTCGTAATTCAACTTTATTTTAATTAAAGTTCAGATTCTTTTCTCGTCATTTGTTCACCTTACCTTGACATAGTTTAATTTTTATTGCTTTCTACTAAAATTTACTTATTAGTAACTTCTCCAAATCAACATTAAATTTTATCAAGAATTAATTAAAATATTTTAAAATCGATTAAAAATAGTTCATATAAATAGTACCTTTAAAATATCTCTATATTTTCACGCCGCGTCAATTGCGGGCAGAGAAGACCGACTGCCATAAGGCACGGCACATCTTTCGCCTCTCACACATTTATTGCTCTTTTCGTACATGCTCGCCAGTTTTTATGCCTTCTGACATCACCTCCTAACAGCATGCACTTGATTTAATCATGACACCTTTCATGATTGATCGTGAGGAAACCTGAGGAAACCACATTCTAAATCGTTCCACTTTGGACCCAAATTTAATTAGTGACAGCCC